GTGTCATGTCAACTAGATATATAGAGACGTCAAGTCAAGATCCTGACAGATATATTTATGACAGTGGTGGCGGATGGATCTGTTAAGGGAGTGCATCGAGCCCTTCAACGCTTCGACGTTGAGGGATACTTCGATTGTTTCATTGGATCTATTCACCTTGCAGCGCGTCATGTTGAGGTCGTCAGGAATTGGCATCACTCCGAAACCACTTCAGGTGGATACGTGGAGCTTCGGAGAGTGATGTGAATTTGTGTCGAATTGGTTTTAGTGCCGAAGTGGAAGTGGCTTGGTTAGGGGCATAACAGTAAAGATTTAGGGATTTCCGTGGGAGGAGCCAATTGGCAATAAATGAGGTTTGTGGTGTAAAGATGGGCAGAGGTGGTGAAAATGGTGATGGCACCGAGTAGTTTTGGTCGTTTTCACGGTACCATCGGATTGAAAACAACTTGCAGATCTGGTATTCGGTTATTCTAATCTTGTTTTACGAGGGGCATACATTGAGGTTGTGGTGATGATGGTTTTGGATTTGATGTAGAGGTGATGGTGGTGGGTTGTTTGTGGTTGTGGATTGAGCTACAAGTGGTGGTGACGATGGCGACGGCGGTTCTTGTGGCATAGGTAGTACTTTGCTGGTGGTGATATATTTAAGGTTGTATGTGACATATCTATTGTTAGATCTTTTGCATAATGGCAGTGGTAAGGTGATGCCAATGGTGGTGGTTAGGATTGTTGAAAGTGATAGTGGTGCGCATTTGATTGTCGTTGTTGGGAGTGGTGGTAGTGATGACGAAAATCGAGTATGATCAAGTCTATTTTCATTGTGATTGTATGTGATCAGATCTATAAGAACTGCGACTATGTGTGACTTGGTTACATATAATCCCAAATTGGACTGATATGGTCACAAATAGTTACATTTAAGATAAAAATTGGTCACAATTAGTCACAGTAACAAAGGTGGTCAATAAATGTAGTAAAGTTGGAGGTGAAAGTGGTAGTGATTGGTGGTGGATTGTGGTATTGGGCTATGGTGTGTGAAGATTTATTTATGGGGACTCTTTAAAGTCAAATATGTGTTTATTGTGGAAGTTGTGACTAATTATGTATTAACTGTGATCGATTGGGACTTGATCACATATTTCCACGGTAACAAAGTCACATTTAATACAAATTTGGTCACAATTAGTCACAGACAACACGTGTCAATAACACAATGACTTGGTCATAGACGATTTGATCACAGTTAGTCACAGATAACACAGATATGATCACAAACTATTAATCTGGTTACATATAACACAGTTAATCACAAAATTCATCGATTATAACACAGTACTCAAAACATTGCCACTATAACCAAATAGATTAACTGCAGTGCAACTTCATTACCTCTAATGCATTATCTCTGCCACCATACAGATTTATTTTTTACACAGCGCCACCTCACCACCACCACCATCTGTAAAGTTTTTTGTGTCTAAAAATGTGTAGAGAGAGAGATAGAGAGAGAATAGAGAGAGCTTCTGTGGAGATAGAAGACGGTTTTAATTTTTGGAGTTGTCGGAGCGATAGCCGGAGACGATGGTCATCTCCGGTGGAGAGGTGGAGAGAAGGTGGTATAGTGGGGTGATAGGATGGGTGGGTAAGGTGGCATGGGTGGAAATAATTAATGTATATTATATTATATTATATTTTAATATTTAATAAATTTATTTATCATCTTATTTTTGAAATATTTTAATGAATTTGTTATTTGTGAAATGTGATCTTTAAAACTAAGAGTTAGATTAATATTCCATGATGAAATGCCCAGAAAAATAGAAACATTTGTCAACAACTGGTGTGGAGAAATATAGGCCCCAAGAATTCACCATTGATGAGTGGTGTCAAATGATTTGATGGGCTTGGTCAAGTCCAGTTCACCAATTTTTTGCGAGGCTCAACCAAAGCAAGCCTAAACAGCCCTAAGGGTTCAAGAGAGTTGTTGCTCTTATTTATTTATTTACTTGTTTTGGCCTATGTGGATTAATTCCATTTCGATCTATTTTGGAGTTGAGATTTGCTGTTTAATTTTATTGTCTAGACAGCTGTCCATCCAATGAATTATTGACTTTTCATCAATAATTAATATATTATCTCAAATTTACACTCATTAACTTCACCACTAACCAATCAAATTGATAAAATATCAATAACTCCTTGGATGAATAGCCATTTGAACGATAAAATTGAACAACAAATCACATCTCCTTACTTTGACACCGCTTCTTAAGAATGGCTTCAACATGACACTAGAAACACTAAACCAACCCAGCAATCATGAAGGCCAATTGCATCACGCCACGTGTCAAGTTACAGTTTGTTTCATAGATTTCCTTGGATGAGATTAGATTCAGTCACTTTCATTTAAATTACATATAGCCCCATATCTTATCTCTCCCTCAAACTCCAGGTTAGTTTCATTTTTCTGCAGCAAAACTTGCCTCAAAATGACAGCAGAAATGGCCTTAGTCAAACCCATATCCAAATTCAGCTCCACCATTCCTAGAATCGGGTACTCCCGATTGCCAAGCACCAGATTTTTTACCATCACAATGTCATCATCCACCACCCAATCCCAGGCAGCAACTATAACCAAGAAGAAGAAGGCTGGCAAAAAGGAAATAAATGAAACCCTGCTGACTCCAAGATTCTACACCACGGATTTTGATGAAATGGAGCAGCTTTTTAACACAGAAATCAACAAGAATCTGAACATGTCTGAGTTTGAGGCTTTGTTGCAGGAATTCAAAACTGATTTCAACCAAACTCACTTTGTGAGGAACAAAGAGTTCAAGGAGGCTGCTGATAAAATGGAAGATCCCTTGAGACAGATTTTTGTAGAGTTCTTGGAAAGGTCCTGCACTGCTGAGTTTTCTGGGTTCCTTCTCTACAAGGAACTTGGGAGAAGGCTCAAGGTGTGATGTTTTTCTTCTTTTCATTTCACTCTTTTCCTTTTAATTCTTGATATAATTTATGGGTTCTTATAATTTAGTTCTTTTGCTGAATTTGGGGCTAATTTCGTCGATAAATTTGAAATTGGACCTCCAATATTGTTTTTATCAGCATTTTGAACTTGAGGCTAGAACTACTTATGTAAGTTTACTTATAAGTATATAAGTTACTGATGAAAATTGATATTTACATATTTTGATAGTTTCAACTTCGAAGTTAATCATTTTCCAATGTGGGAAACTTGTTTTAAATGATCTATTCTTATTTCCTTTTGCAATGACCATCTTAGTGGTTTAGTGTTAATTGCTAAAGTCCTCATGGCAATTTCTTTTCTTTTGCTCTTTACGAAACCAACAGTGAGATGTTGAGCATGTCCCCCCTTGTCTAAGTTTCTGCTCTTCGTCAAGTGTTGCTTATAATTGCATTGTTGTTTTTCGATTACATTATCAGGAATTTCATAATTTGCTGCAGCAAGTAGTTAGGAAACTGCTTTATTAAACTTTGTCTTGATTAACTTGTATGGAAATTGCTTCTGCAGAAAACCAACCCTGTCGTAGCTGAGATTTTCTCTCTTATGTCTAGGGATGAAGCTCGCCATGCGGGGTATGCTCGTGTTTTTCTCTCTTTAGCTCTCTCTGAATTAAACTTCTTCACTACAAGTTTACGAGTTGGGAGAAAGTCTTTTTAATTCTTGCAGGTTCTTGAACAAGGGTTTATCCGACTTCAATTTGGCACTGGACTTGGGATTCCTTACCAAGGCAAGAAAATACACATTTTTCAAGCCCAAGTTCATATTCTACGCAACTTATCTGTCGGAGAAGATTGGATACTGGAGATACATAACGATATACAGACATCTCAAGGAGAACCCAGATTACCAATGCTATCCAATTTTCAAGTACTTTGAGAACTGGTGTCAGGACGAGAATCGCCATGGTGATTTCTTCTCAGCTTTGATGAAAGCGCAGCCGCAGTTCCTGAATGACTGGAAGGCGAAATTGTGGGCACGTTTCTTCTGCCTCTCGGTAATTATGTCTTGACATTTTCTTTGTTCAAATCCTATTGCTCGTTACTTGGACAAAATAGATCTTTTTTGTCCTTGATCTGTGATCCTTTCTCTAATCTTGACAACATATTGCAGGTTTATGTGACAATGTACCTTAATGACTGCCAAAGAACAGCTTTCTATGAAGGCATTGGGCTGAACACTAAAGAATTTGACATGCATGTCATTATTGAGGTGAGGGATTGTCCTTAATTATCTCCTGCATTCTCAACTGCCATACTAGCGGGCTCGTTTTCTTCTGGTTCTGAGCACTTCTCGATCAACTCCCTCGAAGATTTGAGTTCTTGCTAAAACTCGTTTTTGGTTTTCTTGCAGACAAACCGCACAACAGCTAGAATTTTCCCAGCTGTGCCGGATGTTGAGAACCCGGAATTCAAGAGGAAATTGGATCAGATGGTCAAGATCAACGAGCAACTGATTGCAGTGGGACAGAGCCAAGACATTCCTTTGGTGAAGAACTTGAAGAGGATTCCACTAATATCAGCTCTGGCTTCTGAGATATTGGCTGCTTATCTCATGAAACCCATCGAATCTGGTTCTGTCGACTTTGCAGAGTTTGAACCACAACTCGTTTACTGATTTATTCTGTCCAAACCTGTATTCAAATCTCAATTTTACAGAGTAAAGTGTTTATCGTAATTACAAGGACACTTTGATGATACCGAGGAAAACATCTGTTATGCAATGAGAACATCCTCCTACCACTTTCTGCAATGCTAGAATGTATAAGAATAATTCTCCCTGTCCCGGGTTGGGGACAGGGAGAAAGACAGTGGTGCCCCCCCTATTGGAGGGGAGCCAGCCAGGGGCAGGCGCCCCTCCAATAGGGGGGCGCCACATGTCCCCAACCCGGGACAGGGAGCAGGTTTCAATGTATAATTGCAAAAAGTCAGATTTTTGACAAATTCTGTGAAAAGAGCAATATTTTGAAGACGTGTAATGAACCCAGAATTTCTGAAATCGATAAAATCATTCATCCCAAGCCCTCCACGTAATTATACAGCCCTTGCGCGCGTGCGCTGTGAGTTAGAGGGAGAGAGATTAATGGAAATAAAATTGCCTTGAACCCAAATCAGCAATGTATATATCATTCTGCAAGCAAATTTTACAAGTTAACTGCATCAATATTCCTACAAATTCTATGTACACACAATGATCAACTGTTCTTACAATCTGATTTTACGGACTTCGCCTTTAGTGTCTCGTCTTTCTTGGGCCGAACTATCAGTCTAAATGCCCACACTGCTGCCAAAGTTGCCTCCATAGGAGCAAGCCAGTACACAATTAAATGCTCCTTGCTTATATGTTCTCCGTGTGCAAAAGCCCACCCCATTACCTGGGAGATGCAATTAAAATTTTACTCAGTGTGCATCCAACAAAATTCGGCAGTAAACATAGATTATGCATAGAATGATTATTAAGTACTTAAAGAGGCTGGATTCATGCATCCTCCAGTCAGATCAGAGCCGAGAATGTGAAGAGTGAGCTTTGAGACGCTGGAGATCCAAGTCTTCATGAAGAAACTTCCGGGAATTTTTCTCGAGAGCCCTTGGGATATAATCACAATCCCAAATGTCAAAAGACCTTCAGTCAATGCACCTCGAGCTATGTCAACATTCAGACGTGGCCCACGTCCTATTTCAGGAAATGCCGCGAGAATGAACCTAACTCCATAAATAGACCCCAAGACCTTTAAAAGAGAGATGGAAGAACAAAAATAAGGGTATGCGCCGGTAAAAAAACTAAGGGGGCATTTGTTTCTTATTTTTGCAAAAATGAAAATGAAAAATATAGTCGTTATGGGCCCCACAGAGATAGAAATTCAAATTTGGTGCCTTGATGTGATGGATAACGATCATATTTTTCATTTTAATGGAAAACAAACGGGGCAATCATCTTTAACTCAACTTCCAGAAGTCATTTAAAAAGCATGACGAGTCTTTTATTTCCAGATGACTATCAGACGATTATGAATAAACTATGAGTTTTGAAAATTACTACTCTTCATAACCTCTCTGAGAGAGAAAGAAACTAGAAGCACTGCAGCAGTGACAACACGGGAAAAGGGATGTTCTCTAAGCCCCTGATTGATGGCCATTACTTGGGAAAAATAATGCTTTGAATAGCGAATTTTTGGAGAATGTATAGTTAAAAAGTAAGGAAAAGTTTTGAGTTTACGTACATAATATTTTATTGTGTGAATGTGTGGATGAAAATGAGTATATAGATAAAAGACTTTTGAAGAAAAGCCCATCAAACGGGGCTAAATAAGAAGATAATGGTACAAAAACTATGTGGTGAAAAGAATTCGACTAGTTGAGAACAATTCCAAATTAGAAACCTCGAATAAGAAAGTCCTACATGTAGATACAGAATTAGAAAGTCCTGTACGTGGAGCTCGGTTCTACAGAATTATCAGCAAAGAATTTGCCAAACTAACAAGATATCTCCACTGTCCCACTTCTTCCACAAGTACAGTATTGTAAGTTAGACCTCTTAATCATATTGCAATCTTTAGTTCGTACAAATCAATCAACAAAACACACATCAGTTTTCATAAATTATTAACTGAGAATGAGTCTTGAATATATGGCAATGAGACTTTTTTTTTACCACAAGATTTAGCTTAACTAACATTAACTGAGAATAATCTTCTTTCAAGGTCAAATCCCTAAATTTCTTAAGCTCTTTCAGTAATAAAATTACTTTTACCTACCTACACTGTATAAGGTTTTAGATATTAGATCAATTCACTTTCCAAAAAAGAAATAGAAATTTTTGGCTTAAACTCAGAGATTTATTGCATGCCCTAATCGGAATTTACGAGCAACCCAAAAGCAAGCATTCCTGAAAATAAAGAGAAGAATCATCATCGAATTTCTCTAATTCAATGTCACACCAAACAAAACGTCAATTTATGCACATAATTACACGCATCAATCGCCAAATTTATCGAGCCACAATGTTTCCTAAAACGAAAAATAGCATAATAATTAGAGAAACAAGAGTTAAAACATTTGCACTCAGCGAACCTGGATAGGAATTCTGGCCCCGACAGTGAAGAGGAAATTGCTGAAATCCCCAGAGATGGCGGAGGACAAGATGGTGAGGGGGTTGTAGGCCCCACCCTTGGTGGCTTTGGCCAAGTATGCAAAGAAGAACATGTTGACAAGGGAGATTCCATACCTCAGAATTTCACCCTTCAAATCATGGGTGCCATAGCCCAATATTTTATACACAAAAATCTTGATAAGCACGCTAGACCAAACCCACATGAACGACATAAAGAAATCCGACACTAGCAGCAGCCTTCCTCCTACGGCAGCCATGGTTGGTCCTGGGTGCTCTCTCTCCCACAGAGAGGCGAACTTATTTTATACACAAAAATCTGAATGGAGCTATTGCCTTCTGGGAACCTTCGTGTTCCTACTTTTCCTGTTGATCGAAAGTAAACAGTCCACACCATGTTTGTCGGGTTTTATTGGTGAATTTTAATATTAGCAATCTTGCCATCTTTATTTCAATCACTTCATCCGCTTACTTAAAAAAAAGGTTGAACCACAATCTTGAGGACCTCCACCGTCCGGCCCCGCCCCGCCCCGCCCCTAGAGCTTTATGAGGGAAGTAAATCTCAGGATGTGTCCCAACAGGTCAGGGAACAAGAGCTGTCTATACACTGCGCCTACAAGGAATCCAATTCTATGTCTTGGGAATCAAACCCCCACACTGCGGCTGTCAGCAAGGCGTGAGATAACCTCACTCCTGTCCTTTGCACCACTGGGTTATGCCCCGGGGGGCACTTCATCCGCTTACTTGATTATTGTGAATCCGCCCCATCGATTATCTCCTCAGTATAGGCTCGTTTCATCCACGTGTGCTAGTCTTAAAACCATTCAGATACAAAATATTTTAAAGTAAATTTTTTGATTAAAAAACCTAGTCAATAATAATATTTAATTAAAAGATCTTCACTCGATAGTTTTTGGTCAAATATTGTCTAATCTATTTTGTGGGTGATTATATTGACACTAGAAATTTTATTTGTTATATCAAATTTTAATTGTAGTTAAGTTTCTCAATTTTTGCTCGTTGTAGCAATTATTTTCTTAATTTTTCTCATAGAATTCTTATCTTCAAAATTTCATTAATTAATATGTCTTGCCTTTGATGATAACTTATATCAAAGTATTTTGTTTCATACTTTAAAATGGGGGGGAAAATATATATATATATACACACTATTTTTTTTTTTGCATTATTTGTTTATTCATTTAAAAATATGATGGAAAAATAATATATTTTTTAGGCCATTTCAATGGATTTTTGGACATAAAATTGTTATAAAATACAAAATATATTAACTAGTGAAAAGTTTGAGGATAAAAATGACATGAAAAATCTCTAGAGATATAAATGTTGTAATGAATAAAGATAAAGTATCTTAAATACAATCAAAATGTAGTGTAAGAAATAAAATCTGTGTTGTGAATATAATTAGCCTTATTTTATTATATGTTCAAAATCTTAAATATCCTTTCACTTGAAATGTCTAATTTAAAACTAACATTTATCAAATTCTCCAATCATAAATTCCCACTCACATTCCATGGTAGTTCATGGTAGAAACAACAAAACAACATGCTACCCTTTTAAAGGACTAGGTGTCATTTCAATTAATTTCATTTATGTTTCGCATTATGTTCCCATGTATCCACGTGAAAATAAAGGAAGACAAGTTTTTACTATGTTAGGAGTAAAGCTGAGACCCGTGACCCAAAACAGCATGCTGCTATTTTAAACAGTTAGATGTCGTTTTAACATGTTCATTTCATGTTATGTTCATTCATATCCACATGAAAATAAACGGATGCAAATTTTCACTACATATGGACACTATGTCAATACAAAGGTTATGCGATAATAACCAACATTATTGTTATTTGACTCAACTGCATTAGACTTCACTATGAAAGAAGGTAAATAACCGAAATTACATTATATTTCAATTATAAGATAAGATACTTAAAAAATTAGCTCATTTTTATATAAGTCTTCTAATCTTCTACTATGTTTAAAAATATAATGGACGAGCTTTGAAATGAGAACATGAGAGCCGGTGCTCTAAAATGGCATGTAAAACTAATTTCATGTCCGTTTAACTTTATATTCTCCCCTATGATCATAAAAATGAATGGAGACACGTTTTCACTATCTTTGAACACAAGATTGATGCACAGTTCACACTATAATGACCAACAAGCATGTCTCGAGTAATTGTACAAAACTAGGTACCAAGTAAACTCAAATTTTATTAAATTCATCTAGATCAGATAGCAAAACTCAGTACCTTGACTTATTTAACTTATTCAACTTCTATTATGTTTAAAAATATGATTGACAAGTTTTGAAGTGAAATCGAGAGCCCACTCTCTAAAATGGCATATAGTCGATTTTAAATGGATTTGTGTTGTTTTAACTAATTTCGTGTCCATTTGATTTTTATTTGCTCGTATGATCATAAAAAATGAATGAAAACACTGTATCACTACCTTTGAACACCATTGTCGATACAAAGATCATGTTTTTCCTACCACAGGAAGCCTTCTGTTCTTTGTAATCGGGGAATTGCTCTATGCGATGAAACGAAGGGGTTGAAACTTTGGTTAGTGAGTATCACAATCATATGATAAACACATTATACTATGCAGCCTTTAATCTTGTCTACATTATAGATTTTGGTGGGAATTAACCGGTTCAACCTGACCATAATTTGCCGAAGATTTCTGGTACGTGTATATGATGTCTTACAGAAACTTGTAGACGAATGAATCTCGTTGGAATTTGACAAGACTCACACTAGATATAAAGCTTTGTCAAATATGCTATCTGATTTCAGGTTTGTTCTCTCGTGGTTTTGAAATCACAGGCTTTACACTGGAACACTCTCAAGCCAAAGTTCAAAACAGGAGGAATTTCTGAATCAACTACTGCCCTAAATGTCTACCAGACAAACACCCCAGTTCAAGATGATTGACTAGAAGCACGGGATATCTGGTGATGCACCCAAATTACCATATCCATTGGCCCCAAAATGGGGAAATGACCCAGATCGGCCAACTGAACTAACTTTGTCGACTGAGACGGGAGTGAGTTCGGTCACACATAAGACGGAAGTTGGACCGGCAAAAGGTCTGGTAGAAACAAAGAAAAGAGAATAGATGCAAGAAAGAAAAAACTGAAAAGATTTTAGGAATTCCTAGTAACCTACAAGATGATTAAGGAAATAGATGGACATTGACAAAAGAATCATGTGTAAATGTGCATAGTCACATTTATATGAGATGGGCGGTTCTGAATAACTGGACCTGTTTCTTCTGTACCCAATGCTTTACAATAAATGAAATCCTTATATATCAGGCAAAACTCGCAAAACAAATCCATAGCTTTTCCAGGAAATATGCAGTTAAACACGGGCAAATTAATGTTTCAACTAACAACCATTTGATGCTGGTAATATAACATAATAATGAAAGATAAAAGGAGTAATCCGACAGGACTAGCTTAACAACTTTGTTCGATCAGTCCATGCGTTTAACGAATTGACAAATGGAAGAGTTGCGACCATCGTGAGAAAGAAATATTACATAAGCAATAAAAAGGATTTTCCACCAACATTACAACAGAAGTTTGAACTAAAAACCATAACATAAAATAATGAAAACAGAAACAAGTACGTACTCGACCCTATTTATCATTTTTTTTTCTTCAGTTTTGTTCTTATTTTTATTCATAAGATTTACTAGACAGGGATATTACTTTGCCATCATCACCTTGACAAACTCTTCGTAATTGATTTGTCCATCGCCATCAACATCAGCTTCCCTAATCATCTCGTCTACTTCCTCATCAGTCAGCTTCTCGCCAAGATTAGTCATCACATGGCGCAGCTCAGCAGCAGAAATGAAACCATTCTGATCCTTGTCAAAAACACGGAAAGCCTCTTTAAGCTCCTCCTCAGAATCGGTATCCTTCATTTTCCTGGCCATAAGGTTCAAAAACTCGGGGAAATCAATGGTTCCATTACCATCGGCATCAACCTCGTTTATCATGTCTTGAAGCTCAGCTTCGGTCGGATTCTGCCCTAAGGATCTCATTACAGTACCCAGCTCCTTGGTTGTGATGCATCCTGAACATTATATAGATCAAAGATTAGCAAACAATGCTCTCTTTCTCTAAAAATTTCGACTGTAAATTGAAACAGATCTGATAAAGAAACAAAAACCCATAATCAAAATCTAAATATAATTGCGAAATAACAACAGGAAGATTAAAAAAAAAAAAGAAAAAGAAAAAGAACCGAACCATCGCCGTCTTTGTCAAAAAGGCTAAAGGCCTCCTTGAACTCAGAGATCTGATCATCTGTCAACTGATCTACCATTTCTTCTCTTATTTCGACTCCGAACAATTTTTCTTAATTCCTTCGAAGAAATGAGATGGGCTCTCGACAAAAGTAGGCAGCCTGGCAGAGCTAAAAGGAATATATATGGAGGATGAGAAGAGGGATCCAAAGAGATTTTTCAAAGAAGAAAGGAAAAATGATAAATTTTTTAGGTAATTTCTGTCATTCAATTACAGTAATCAAAAGAATAATCAAAACGTTTGTCTTTGCAATGTCTGTAACGTGTGACGTTTTGTACGGGGCATGATTGGTTTATCTATTTTTTGTCCCCGAATTCCCTGCTTTGCCCTTCCCTTCCCTTATCTTTCCCATTCTTTTTTTTTTTTTCCTTTTCTTTTTTTTTTTTTTTTTTTTTTTTTTTTTTTTTAAGTGCTTGATTGGTAGGATTTTTTTTAATTACTTTTTGATCGTTAGAGATAAAGCGGATCCTATCTATGAGAAAAGAATTGAAAAATGATGACTGAAATAATAAAATAACGGTCAAAAAATTAATTTTAATTGAATTTTAAACTGTATCAAACATGCTATTTATAATTACGACTAATAATTCCATGTAACAACTTAATTTAAAGTATTAACTTGTTCTTTGAGACAATAGTATTACATAACCTAATATCTCAAATAACAAATTATCACTTAGGATGATTACGATAATTGCTGACTATAAATAATATCGTTCATTTGATAAGCATATTAAAGTAGAGACGTAAAATGAATTGGATCGTCTAAATCTAGCTCAACCCAAACTTTATTCAAATTTCAAAAGAGCCTATTCTTGCAAGTCTCGTTTTATTTTTTTCTTATTTAAAAAAAAATGATATAGTTGAGCTTGATAATTTGGGACACCTAATTTAAGCGTAAGTATTTCTCTTTGAAATTATTGAAAATAGATTAGTTCATTCAATTTGATTGAACTATTTAACATATCCATGGTTTAAAAATCTAGAAATTCACCATTTTGTTTTCATAGAAACGAATTAATTCAATTTCAAAATAATTTTTGAAATGTCTCGATTGAATTTCTTGTTAAGTAAATTTATACAAATGCTAAACAATTCATGCTCTTTTCATATAGAAAAACATTTTCATCGTTTGATTCGTGCTCCGAATTATTTTCTGCATCAGGGTTAGAAATGTAAATAGCTAATAGTAAATAGTGAAGATATTAAAATATTATTATTGGTCCGCTTTTCATGAATGGATTTGTGTGTCCCACGAGGGAAAGGCAAACAGTAGTACGCGTTTCTTACGCGGTATTCTTGACGTTGACCTACTGTGTTGTGCCACGTAGGTTAGCCAATTCTCATGGAAATTGGGTATTGCCCGAATCAAATATGGGCTATAAACGGGAAAAGTTTGAACCCGGACCCCGTGCATATAGGACTGGAGTCTTTCCCATTCTCATTTTTTTTTTTTTTGTTTTTGTTTTTGTTAAGTGCTTGTTTGGTAGGAATTTTTCTAATTACTTTTTGATCGTTAAAGATAAAGCGAGTCCTATCTATGAGAAAAGAATTGAAAAATGACGACTGAAATAATAAAATAACAGTCAAAAAATTGATTTTAATTGAATTTTAAACTGTATCAATTACAACTAATAATTCCATGTAACAACTTAATTTAAAGTATTAACTTGTTCTTTGAGACAATAGTATTACATAACCTAATATTTCAAATAACAAATTACCACTTAGGATGATTACGATGATTGCTGAGTATAAATAATATCGTTCATTTGATAAGCATATTAAAGTAGAGACATAAAATGAATTGGATCGGCTAAATTTATGAGTCTAGCTCAACCCAAACTTTATTCAAGTTTCGAAAGAGCCTGTTCTTGCAAGTCTCGTCTTAGTTTTTTCTTATTTTTGAAAAAGAAAAATGATATAGTTGAGCTTGATAATTTGGGACACTTGATATAAGCATAAGTATTTCTCTTTAAAACTATTGAAAATAGATTAGTCCATTCAATTTGATTGAACTATTTAACATATCCATGGTTTTAAAATCTAGAACTTCACCATTTTATTTTCATAGAAACGAATTAATTCAATTTCAAAATAATTTTTGAAATGTCTCAATTGAATTTCTTGTTAAGTAAATTTATACAAATGCTAAACCATAATTTGCTAAACAATTCATGCTCTTTTCATATAGAAAAACATTTTCATCGTTTGATTCGTGCTCCGAATTATTTTCTGCCCCTTTTTTCTTCGGAGAGTGCTACAAGTACATAATTATTTACATAATGGTGTCCATAATTACACGTGGCATTGGATCCAATCTTTAATTCAAATCTCACACTTGCACATCAACAATCGAATGATTGCCACATCACATTATGGACACCATTATGTGCAATAATTATGTACAAGTAGAATTTTTCTTTTTCTTCTGCATCAGGGTTAGAAATGTAAATAGCTAATGGTAAATAGTGAAGATATTAAAATATTATTATTGGTCCGCTTTTCATGAATGGATTTGTGTGTCCCACGAGGGAAAGGCAAACAGTAGTACGCGTTTCTTACGCGGTATTCTTGACGTTGACCTACTGTGTTGTGCCACGTAGGTTTGGTTTAAATTTTATTGCAGATTCGGTTTTTCTGTTCCAAATGGGCCAATTCTCATGGAAATTGGGTATTGCCCGAATCAAATATGGGCTATAAACGGGAAAAGTTTGAACCCGGACCCCGTGCATATATGACTGGAGTGGGGTGGACTTGTAAAAAAATGTTGGAAGGGCGGAGCCGGGGCATGATCTGACCCGCTTCAAAGTCATGTTACTTTTGTATAGACAAGACGAATGGCTACCAATGGCTCAAAGTGGCATCGTCTCTTTAGTGTTTATGGAATTTTTACCGTGTTGACTAAAAGGTCAAAGTTTAAGTAAAGCTTTGAATGTTCAAGTTGTTGAAAATGGTTTTTGGGCAACTTCGAGCTCAAAATTTTGCGATATTCAAACATCAAAATTAACATAATCAAGTATATTTATGTTATGCTCCATGAGATAATTAACATAATATATTTATTTGTCGATAATGATTGAGTATTCAATGTGTTGGGTTTTTTTTTATACCCTATAATTCTGACAGTAATTTAAAATAGTTATCGAATTATTTATTGACACCATGGACTTGGCTCGACTCGGGAACGAACTACACCTTTTGATGGCTCGGGTTGGGGTTGGACGATTCTTTGGTTAGTTGAACCATTTAGTGATTAATATGGAGTTGAAAATTGGCCCATTAGTTTAGGTTATATGGCAGCCCACTTAGAGATCTCTTGACCCATATTTGGTGACCTAAACTAACCTATATACATGTATCTATCTCCCAGCTGTTTTGGTGTGCGCGCGCGTGTGTGTGTTGTAGCAAGGGAGAGGAGAGTTGAAAGAAGAGAGGGAAGTCATGTGAGGTTGTGAGTGAGATTTAACCATTGTGATATCTTCTTCTTCCTCTCAATGTCTTTGTGGATTGCTAATACCACCACCCTTCTCCTTTGTGGGGATTGAGAGAACGAGGGCTGTCCAAAGTGAAGGCGAAAGTCTTGGGTTGAATCGAGGTAAATCGATATTCGTTTGATTGTTTTCTGAGCCCGGAATCAAGATCTATTGAGAGATTTCTGCGACACAATGAAAATTTGGATTCAAAATCATTAACTTGAAATTTGAAGTAGAGATTTTGATTGAATTTGGTTAACATTTGTCCCACACAAGAAAGCTAGTGGGAAAAATGTTTGGTTTATAAGATCATTGTTTGACCTTTCTATTTGGGCCTAAAAGGCACAGGACATTGAGTTCGAAACACACATGCACGTGCATGGGTGTGGTCAGAGTTTTGCATATTATCTTTTGGATAAAATCATATGTACCGAGGGGGTTATCGAAGCGTGTCCCCCCCCTCACAAACACGCGGACCCCGCGTGTATTTAATAATGCCGAGCCGTGTCCCCACCTTGATGATGTAAGTGGGGTGTAAACGATTATGTAAATGATTATGTACGTGTAGTACGGTCCTTATCTTTTTTGGAGAACATTTATTTAAATTTAAAAAAACATGCATGTACTGATTTTATTTTCATAGGGGCCATATAGGTCTCTCATTGTGTTGGGGTGGGCTCCACATGTATTTAAAAAAATTGTGGGGCCAGCCTCACTTGTCTCTTGCCTCGCAAGGAAACAGGTTTTTATCGATTTAAAGTTTCAAACCATTGAATTTTTCCACGAGTATTTTTTTAGACGTTTAAGACTTGTGGTCAACATTTGTGACATGTAATCGACAGTAATAAAAAATTTTGTTCGTTTAGAAAGTTGTTTGAATAGTCACCACTGTTCGTGAAGAGACATATTAGGCTGTTCGAAGGACCACACTCTATAAACTGCCTACTTTTCTACTAGAAAAATTACACCAAAAAAAACCTATTAGAGAATGGAAAAACAAGATTCAAATGCAATTGTTCAATATACTCTACATTTTGCTCCAAGTTTTGAGTACAAAACACAAAGTTGAGTTCATTTGAGGTCTTACAGATTGATATTCTACTTCTACCTAATACCAATAGGGCAAGATTCCACTTAAGTCTCTTATAAAACAAAATTCTTGAGTTTGAAACAGGGAAACGCAAAAGGAAGTCATGAAGTGTAAAAGGGTAGATACTGTAGCGTTCGAAATCTATTTCATTCTTTTTATAGATATAAATAAAATGGGCTTGAAGTGTTACCAAAAATCCCCATTTCATAAATTAAGCAAAATTTACTTTTTGTTCAAAATTTAAAATTTTTCGATAAGTCGATGATTATAAACCAATAACTTAAGTGAAAAGTTTTCTCATCAAATAAAATTTTAAGGTACTACGATTTCAAACTATCATTTCGAATTTAACATAAAATATCAAATGTTCGAACACAAGAAAAACCCATAAATTTAAGTTTAACATGGAACGTGAATTGTTTGATCACAAAAGAAAAACTATTAAATAACGTGCATAAAATTTAACGTAAGGATTTTTTTTTTTCAAATATAAATTGCAATTATCATTTTTAGAAACTTTTACTTGACGACCCGTTCTAATCTAAAAATTTAGTAAGAGTTAGATTTTTGAAAAGCACACAATAAGAAATACGTGCATATTCTTATTAACATGATATAAATATAAAATGACATAGCATACAGACATTTCTTAGATTTAGAGCAAATAGGTCCAACATCCAATAGCTCAAGGAATTTCATAATATTTTTATATCCTGTAGAATTTACATATCCGACCAAAAGGTCAATTCCATAGGATTTAACATATTCGACCTAACGGTCAATCCTGTAAGATTTAACATAAAAATCGACTCGATGGCCTTAGAGTATTTCATGTCAAAATCTATAAAATATTACAAAATTAAAAATTTACCAATTGCACATACCTCAAATGACATCAAAGAAATTTTGAAAATGACTTGTGAAATAAAATGCTATTCCTTTTCAAAAGTATGAGTGGATGTAGACGTGAAATACCAACGTTCTATGTGGATAAAGAAAAGTTTCTCTCTCATATACAGGGGTGGAGCCCCATTAGGTCCATCTGCCCGCACTGAACTTTTGGACTCCATTAGGCCCAAATATATATATATATTTTTTGAAATCCTAGTTAACAAGTAACAATCCAAATGGAAGCCCAACTCAAGTAATCACAGCCCATAACCCGTTTACGTTTATCGACCCGGACCCAGTGACCCAGACCCATCATTCTTAACCCATTTGAAATCAAAATCAAGCCAAACCCTTAATCCGTTAATCGCGTCTCTCTCTCCATACTCGTCTCTTGCCTGCTTTCTCAAACTCGAAGCTCCGCCCATCTCCACCCCTACACCGGTCACCGGTGGCCAGCATCCCCTGGATTAGGGGCTTTAATCTTCTTCCCTTAGTTCCCTGTAAGTGTAAGCTCCACCCTTGTCGTCTAGATTAGGTCGAAACTGAAGTGCATCTCCTAGATTAGGCCGCAATTGAACCGCCGTCTGCCAGGCGCCACTACACGGTCCACACCAGCTGCCGCCTGTAAAGAAGGTAATTAATTTCGAATTTAGATGTTCTTCCAAATTCCAACTGCACTGCCATGAGCCGTCTGTCGGTGCGAGTTTACGAGATACAAAGATTAATTTTAATTTATGGCTGCTGCTGCCTAATTTTCATTTCTTCGATTTTGTAGATTCTCATTGATTCAGTCATTCTCACTCAGTCACTCTGTTACACAAGGAAAACTTGGTATGTGAATTTATGTTGTGAAATTGGATTGATAGTGTGAAATTGTGAATTAGATTGTGAAATAGTATAAATTGCATTGTGAATTTGTGATGTGGAAGGTGAATTGATATTGTGAAATTGGATTGATAGTGTGAAATTGTGAATTGTGAAGTAGATTGTGAAATAGTATAAATTGCATTGTGAATTTGCGATTTGGAAGGTGAATTGATATTGTGAAATTGGATTGATAGTGTGAAATTGTGAATTAGATTGTGAAATTGTATAAATTGCATTGTGAATTTGCGATTTGGAAGGTAAATTGATATTGTGAAATTGGATTGATAATGTGAAATTGTGAATTGGATTGTGAAATGTGAATTGCACTTGTGAATTGAAATTGTGAAATTGTGGATTTATGATCCTTTTGTTATTATGAATTATTCTCACTCACTTCAAGTAATAATTGGATATCAAATGTTTAAATCCAAATATCAAATGAATAGATATTTTCAACGAAAAAGGAACGTAGATAGTGTTGATGAGGGGGTATCGAATAATGTGGATGTTGATGAGGGGTTATCGAATGATGTGGAGTTTGATGTCACAAAACTTCCAACTGGTCCTGGTCTAAGGATACCCATTTTAGATTACAGTGCTAACATCCGAGATGAAGTTCGAAGAGCATATATATTAAAGGGTCCTTGTCAGCCCCAAGATCATGACTTTCCAAAACGACAATTTGGAGTAACAATTAGACGATTCAATCCTTCGTGGTTTAAAGAGTTCGGTAGTTGGTTGGAGTATAGTGTAGAGAAGGATGCTGCTTATTGTTTGTATTGTTATCTTTTCAGAACAAGTTCTGAAAAGCAAGGTTGAGGTGAGTCTTTTGTTGGCGAAGGTTTTACATATTGGAAAGATAAAAAAAGGCTTCATACTCATGTTGGACTTCATGATAGTGCACACAATCAAGCTCGCATTAAATGTGAAGTGTTGATGAATCAAGAGCAACACATTGAATCAGTTTTCTACAAACAGTCAGAACAAGCAAGAAATGCATATGTTACACGCCTTAATGCATCCATTGATTGTGTTCGAGTTCTTTTGCGACAAGGGCACTCATTTCGAGGTCATGATGAATCTGAGGATTCTCTCAATTCAGGTAACTTCTTAGTGCAATTGCAATTTTTGGCTGCTCATAATGAAGTTATCAATGCCGTCACATTGGGAAATGCTCCTCACAATTGCAAATTGACATCACCTGATGTTCAAAAGGATATAGTAAATGCTTGTGCTATTGAAACGATCGATTTTATTATCAAAGATGTTGGCGACTCGCTATTTTCTATTCTAGTTGATGAATCTTGTGATGTGTCAATGAAGGAGCAAATGTCTATTGTTTTACGTTATGTAGACAATTTTGGGCATGTCAATGAACGCTTTATAGGGATTGAACATGTTACAAGTACCATGGCTCTATCACTTAAGGCTGCAATTAATAAGGTATTTTCTAAATATAACTTGAGTATGTCTAGATTGAGAGGACAAGGTTATGATGGAGCAAATAATATGCAATGTAAGTTTAATGGTCTGAAAACACTCATTTTGAATGAGAGTCCATGTGCCTTTTACATTTACTGTTTTGATCATCAACTCCAACTTGCGCTTGTGGCTGTGGCAAAGAAGGACATCCCTATTACTAACTTCTTTGGTGTGGTTGGGAACGTAATAAATATTGTTGGAGCATCTTCCAAACGATGTGATCTTCTTCGAGAAAAATAATTAGACTTTATTGTTGAGACATTGGAAAAATGTGAGATTTTAAGTGGACGGGGACTTAATCAAGAAACGACCCTTCAGCTCTCTGGTGATACACGGTGGAGTTCACATTATAATTCTTTGATCAGCTTGCTGGCCATGTTCTCTTCTATTTTAGATGTACTTGCAATGATTATTGAAGATGAATCTTGTTCTTGTGATCAAAGATCTAATGCAACAAATTTATTGGAGTTGATACAAAGATTTGATCTTGTATTTAATCTACATTGATGAGAAGTGTGTTGGGAATTTCAAATGAACTGTCAAAGGCATTGCAAAGAAAAGATCAAGATATTGTGAATGCAATGCAATTGGTGAGATTGTGCAAACGACGACTCCAAATAATGAGAAACGAAGGGTGAGACTCCTTTTTGTAAAAAGTATGTTCTTTTTGTCAACAACATTATATTCACGTACCCAACGTGGATGATATGTTTGTACGCCTTGCAATTCGTGGTCGCCCTCAGCGTTATTCTCAAGAAATTACAAATTTACATCATTATCGAGTAGATTTGTTTTACTCTGTCATCGATTTACAATTTCAAGAATTGAATGATCGTTTCTCGGAGGTAAATACAGAGTTACTCCTTTGTGTAGCTTGTTTATGCCTACAAGATTCATTTTCTTCTTTTGACAAGAAAATCTTGATTAAACTTGCTAAGTTTTATCCATTAGATTTCTCTGCAGTAGATGATATTGTAATTAGCGATCAACTTGAGACTTATATTTTTAACATGCGTTCTAACAAAGAGTTTGAAGGGTTGAATGGCCTTGGTGAACTTGCGGAGAAGTTAGTTTTGACAAAAAAAGATAAGGTATATCCATTGGTTTACAGACTTTCGACTTTAGCGTTGATTTTACCGGTTACTACCGTTACTATGGAGAGAGTTTTTTCTGCAATGAGCATCGTGAAGAATAGATTGCGCAATCGGATGGGTGATCAGTGGATGAATAATAACATTATTGTTTATGTAGAGAGAGATATATTTTTGAAGCTCGATAATGAAATTATTGTACGACGATATCAAAATATGAAAACTCGCAAGGAACAAGTTTAATATATAAATTATGTCGTTTTTAGTGTTGTTGTAATATTGTTTTATTTTTTTATCATCATTAAATCTATGACCAAAATCTTGACGTTCGGCGTCGAAAAATGATGCCCGCACGGAACATAAATCCTGGCTCCGACTCTAATCATATATATATATATATATATATATATATATATATATATATATTGGTATCAGTTGTGTGTTTATCAAAACTGTCTAAAAGAAATTTAATAGGTTAATTAAATTTCAAATCAATGACGATGGAGGTTTCAAATCAGTCATGAACGGTTGAGTGAGGGAGTTACAAATGCCAATTAAATGAATTATTATATAAAAATAATGAATGATTTGTGGTTTTCAAATTGATGTTTCAATTTATTATTTTATACTATATATTATTATTATTATATTTTTATATTAATAAAATATAGAATTTAGAATACTTTTATTTCTATCAAAATAACTCGAATATGACTAGTCCAAAATTATTTCTTCTTGAGCCAATTTATATTGTTTAACACGAGCTACAAAATGAATATAATATCGATATATCTTTTATCAACTTTTAAAATACTTAAATATTTGACCCAAATAACTTACGTTAAATTCTACATGTAAAAAAATAATCATTTATTCAAATAAATGAGTTGCGTGTATCACTTCAACTTTTGGACCTTAGTGTGACAAAATTGGACATGGAGTATTTTATTTTCTAAATGATTAACATTAATTTTTAGTCCATATGAGAACATAATTAAAATTTGGGACGTTACAGATACTCTCCCAAAGCAAGCAACATGTAAGAAACAACAAAAACTCCAATATATTTAAGCTTACATTTGTCTAAGAATAAAGGGAACCCGTGTCTCAGTTGGAGTATTCTTGAATTATAGGCAATATTATGAACTTTAAGCATTTGGATATTACTTTTACAGTCAACGATCTTGGTAGATTTACAAGTAAGCCATGCAATGAACATTGAAAGGCATTGATTTCACCTTAAGATATGGATTACATTACGCATGATATACATTTGTATTAGAATGATACAATGATTTGAATACCAGCTATAAATGATTCAAGATTCACAAGTGATTAAATTTTTATCATTGGTGGTGTAGTCGTGTCTTGAAAGCCCTTAAAACAAACGTGTATAGCTCGATTTACAATGAAATGTGAGTTCATAGTTATAGATAAAGCTAGAAATAAAGCAAAGTCCCTTCATAACTTCTTAAAGGATACTCCGTGTTAGCCTAAGCTGGTAATTGCAATTAAATGTATGTATAGTGATAATCAATCGACAATTGTATAAGCAAAAATTAAAATGTATTATAGTAAGTCTTGACACATTCGTTAAAGATGCAATAACATTAAGCAATTGATTTCAAATGGTGTTATCTCCATCGATTATGTAAGATTGAGATAAATGAGTTTGTTTATTAAAGATTTACCAAGAAATCAAGTACACTGCATATCCAATGAATGAGATTGAAGCCTATTATGTAAGAGTCTTTTCAATGAAACCTAATCTTGCTCACTGAAGATCCCAATATTTTTTTATCAATAAAACAACTATTTATGAAGATTAAATGAAGCAATCTGTAGTTAAACCCTGCACACTCCTATCATAGAAAAGTGCTTTTTGTGGAGCTGTGAGGTCAAGTTTAACTTTTACCTACTCACATATCTCACAAAATCAAGTGGAGTAGCGTAGAATACTCATGATAGATTATCACTTATGTGAGTGTGAAGTGAGGTAATTTCTATGAGAATATTTTAGGGCATGAATTCTTTAAAACACTTATGAAATCTAAGAGTTGTTTAGTACTATTTACTAGTTTACACTAAAGACAAACCAGTTCAAGATATCGCTTTCATTAATTAGCTAAGTAAACACAATATAATATCTCTATGAAGGTTCAAACTTACACGGTACCTTTCTTGATGCAATAGCTTTCCACTTGATTGCTCTATTAGCGTCTTCATAGTTTGTTGCAATAATTTTCATTCATATAGAGGATCATCAGAACATTCGTTAGTTAACTTGGTTTGACAAATTACTTGAGTGGATCCTATTACACATATAGAAGATTTCTTTAGTCAATCGTATTTTACTCCGTGAGAAAATTAATATAGTATATTTATTTTCTCAAAAATAATTTCAAGCGAATAAGAAATTAATGTCAAAGTAAACCACTTACACTTAGAATCGTTAGAACTTTAATTGGTAAGAAAATGAAAGTGTTCATCCCACATTTAAAAATTGGAAGTATTAAGTTCAATGAACCAATATAGTCAAATGAAGTCTCTTCAGTCACAACTTTTAAGAGTTGTATCTTCTAGCTAACAACTTTTCACAATTTTAGAATTTTATTCATTCCCAATATCTTCTACTGTCTATTTTTATTATTTTTTCACTTGTTTGTTTTAAATCAAACCAAGGAAAATGATCATTTTATTCAAAATTTGACCATTTAATGGTCAACTTGAAGGTTCCCAACTTTTCTTAAGTGTGTCACTAATGTCCTCAACTTTTTATTTGTGCACTCATTACCTTTTTATTTTTTTAACTTTATATTCACCTAATGGAAAAGTCTAGCTAGATGTTCAATGTCCGTGTGCCATGGACGTGATATCAAGCTAAAGGGTAGGTTTCTTCAAAAAGATTTCCTTTATTCGAGAAACCAAATTGTGAAAGTTGAAATTACACTAGTTTGTTATTAATATAAATAAGATTTTTAACTTAAATCAAAGTCAAATAATCAATATTAACCAATTCATGGGTTCCACGACTCTTTAACGACACATTTCAAATATATAATATCAAAATCTACTAAAAAAATTAATTTTAATCACCACCAAATAGGGCATAAATGTTGCTCTTTTTTGACAATTTCTCTTTGATCAAACATAATGTGTGTGCTTTGTAGTCATTTAATGATAAAGTCCTTGTTTAAAATTGATTTATTAAGGAAAAAAATCCTAAATATTTTTTTAAAAACAAATTATTTTAACATTTCTCATTGTTTTTCCCTACCTTTTAACCGCATTTTCACCATAAAAACCACTTTTACAAGATAGCTTCTCAAAATTAACTTAACACAAGGGTGAAATAGACGTCTTTGTCATGTCGTGGGGATACCGCTCTATAATGTTGAAAGTGTGGGACACGAGTGCCCCAGATGATAAGTATATTACTAAACGAGGCTTAATCTTGATCGATTTCATAAGCTAAATACACCGTTCTATTCTATTGCATAGTTTTTATTATCTTTTAATAGTAATATACTTATCTTGCATATTGAAATTATAACTCGACTATAAATAAATAAAAGGATCTATTATCCTTTTATTCTAAAAAGGCAATGCAAATAGAAAGACACCCCTTGAATTTATCTTGTTAGAAATTGTTGGGCGTTTCTTAACATTAGTAAAAAGTAGTAACGGCTTATGTAATTGTCATTTATTAAATATAATATCTTTGAATACCTCCTTAGGGTATCAATGGGCACCCTTTTGCACCAAATTACACTAAAATTTGGTGTAAAGGTCCTTCCAACTATTACACCATTTTGGTGCAAAATGGTGCAACATGAACAGTGTTAGTCATTTCACCATTTTTTGCACCAAATAGTGCAATATCAGTTTTGTCATTCTCTTTCATTTTTCAATATAACGGTTAACAGTATTTGTGTCATTTTCGTTCTATGATATTAATAATAATAATAATTAATTATATTATTAAAGTTTATTATTTTTAATATTATAATCAATAATATTTAAGAATTTTTTAATTTAATAATTATTTTCGTAAATTTAAAATAATATATAAAACATGCGAATGATTTAGTAATCAATAATAATTCAATATATTAGTTAATTTAATGTAGTTATGATTTAGTAATTTATATAGTTATAAAATAAATAAATATATTGTTAAAAATTGAAATAATGAATAAAATATTGTTCATCTGGTGTAACGGTTGAAGATGAATTTTAGTTTAGTGCAAAATGGTGTAAATTTTGGTACAAAGTTGGAGATGGCCTAATTATATTCAATCAACAATTTTATAAATCTGCACCATACTTTAATTAAAAGAAAGTTTTCCAATATTTTCTCTTCTTTGCTTTAATGTCCTCAACCTTTTTCTTATCGTATTGTCATTTTTAACTTTATTAATTAACATATTTTGTCTATAAATCACGATTTTCATCCAAATATTCTAGTGATGTCCCTTGAAAAGATGGACAACTATTTTATTTTTATCTTTTGTATTGGTTTTTATTTCGATTTTTAAAAATATGAAAGATAAGTATATTTTTTTGGCCCTCAAAACGAATATTTTGGACGAAAATCATCTCTATAGACAAGAAATGAAAATTAATAGAGTGTTGATGATAAAAATTAAAAAAATGAAAAAGTTGAGAATATAAATGTGAAAATAAGAAAAATTTAGAGATATTTATTTTGGTGTAGTTAACAAAAATTTTGATGGGAATATATTTAATCGTTTACTTTTTGGTCCTTTTTTATTTTTCATCATTCAATCACAAATCCAACGGTTACATATTTCTTTTACTGGAAGACGGCCCTCTCTCGCCCTGCCTTTCTAAGAAATGCTTTACACCAAATGGTGAATAGACAGGAAAATTCCTTGCACCAAATGCTGAAAGGACAGGAAAGTTCACTCTCGTCGTCTTGCCGGGAAAACCCGGTCAACCCGCCGCCGGCGGAAACCCACCATGCAAAAGCCATTTGTTGCATGTCCGGCATTATTCAACTCATTTTTAAGTCCCAAAACCGGAATAAGCTCCTTACTTTTGGTTAGAATCACCTGTACTTTTCCGCTTATTTTACTTTCACTTATAATTTTGATGCAGAGCATCACTTGAAGAATTGAATTTAGAGTAATGTGGAAAAAATACTTTTTTTCTCTCTTTTTAATTTCTTAGCTCTTTTGTGCGTAATTTTGAAGAATTCGAGGAACTGAAACGAAATCCAATCCCATTTTCAGGGAGGAAACAACAAGAAAAAGTTGCATTATCTACTCCAAGAAATGCTACAAAAGCTTCTCCTTCTATCAAAGAAGATATTAGAAGATTACACAGTGAAAGCCAAATTCTCGATTCCAAGGGATTATCGAGCAATATTATACCAAGAAGTCCCACACTTTCACCGGAGATTCGACGATCAAATGCCGGAAGCTCTTCAGTAAATCGGAAAACACCGTCTTCTTTGGTGGCGCGGCTGATGGGATTGGAGGAAATTTTGATTAAAAAGCCTGCATTAAACGAAGATCCCATCGCAGAGAAGAGGAAAAGAATACTACAAGCCTTGGACAAATGCAATGAGGACTTGGAAGCGCTGAAAGAGATAATCAGGAGGGTGCAATCTTCTGATAAACATCTTCAGCCGCCACAGGGTGGAGGCGGTGTTGGTGGCGGAAATGAACAACATTCTTTGGACACGAAAGCCGAGGAGCTGAGTCCAGTCTGCGTGCTAGACGAGTTCACTCGTTCACCTCTGACCCTGAGTAGCTTCTCCAAATTACAGAATAATGGTCAGTCTCTTTTCCTCTTTTCCAGTTTTTTCATTGCTTTTCTTTCTTCTATAACCTAGTTTTTGCCAAAATTAAAGTCTGATAATTAACATTAATATTAATTAAGGTTCAACAAATTAAGAAAATTCCATAGAATTGGAATTTCATAAGTACATGTTCTTGATAATCAAGCAAGCAATAATATCCTGTTTGGCGTGGACGATGTAATTATAAGTTACACCGCCCTTATCCAGTACAAAAACATAAAAAAAGTTATTACTCTTTTTCCTTGATCTACCATTAAAATATGTTGATATATACTCGAACTTTTTGTTAACTATAACGATGAGACTTGAAGAAAAGATATTTGTATACTGTAAGAAAACACGATATCAAGTCCGGGTTTGGCTTTAATTTTTAAAAATTTAATTTTAACTGTACATTTTATATGATACAAAACTTTTATTAAATTTTGAGTTTCACATTTCATCAATTTCTATCAAAATCTACGGTCTGGATAGCTAAAAAGGAAAGAAATTTTTAGATGAGAATTATTATTTTTGAATCTCGATAAATAATGGTGAAACGATCTCCTTTAATTGAGATGCTTTTA